GCATTCCTTCATCAATTGGGCTTTTGTTACAAAACGTAGTGACCATTGATATAGTTACCTCCAGATACAGGAACCTTCAGAGGTTCAGGCCACTTTTACAAAGAGTATCTGAATGTTACTGAGAAAAAAAATTGTGAAATGCTTAACTTTCTCATTGATAACATCTATGTAAAATTTGAGGGTAAGACAATTTTAGGCAAGAAGTAGACATCCCCATGGGCACATATTGTGCTCCACTTCTGCTGATCTGTTTCTTTATGCATATGAATCAGAATTTATCTTAGCTTCAGGTATATCGATGATCTGATATCGTTCAATTACCATTAAATAGCCAATTCCCTTCCACTGATTTACCCATCTGAACAAGAAATAAAAGAAACGAGTAAGACCGCCTCTTCTGTTTCATATTTAGATCTATGCATATAGATTCAGGGTGACAAAACACTCTCCACAAAACTGGATGACAAGAGGGATGACTTCAACTTTCCCTTTTGGTCGAGCAATATTCCTACAGCTTCAGCCTTTGGTGTCTACGTATCCCAACTTTTGCGGTACAGTCGAGCATGCTCTTTCTACCAAGATTTCAAAGCGCGTCATACGACTCGAGCTCAATAGTTGTTGATCAAGGTTACAACAGTAAAGCAATTCCGTAATTTGACTTGCACCATATGTCTTTGCATTTCTTTGTGACGGGTGCCACCAGTGGGGCGGGACACGCTCACCTATTCGCGAACACCTGGTATCATATCATGCTCATGAGATAGTCGGAATCGTACAATGGACTCTGCTTTCAGCAGGTACATGAATATTGAAAGGGTATCGTCGCATTTAGTGTTAATATAAGAGAGTGGTGTCATAAAAAGAGTGTAATGAACGTATTCTTGGTCATAGTTTGAGCGGCTTTGTTTAAAGGCATGAAACAAATCTGTTTGGCCTACTTATTGAGACTTGCGTTCTTGATTACGGTAAGCCCCGGTCTTATTTCCCGGGATTTATCTAAGGCGATCTTAACATGGCTTCAGTGTGTGGACATCAGTGTCTCGGGATATATTCTAAGGGGAATGTGTGATACCACTATTCGTCTTCCTCTCGGAATATATATCCTGGGTCGCGTCGGAATGGGTTTTAACGTCGCGGTCAAGGATTGCACTTACAGAGCGACGTTCATACACGTGGGTGTGTGTGTTTGTGTGTATGTGTGCGTGTGTGCGTGCGTGCGTGCGTGCGTGCTTACGTTCACTTTTATTTAAGTACTTGTAGGCCACGGTCCTTTTTGTACAGACGAAATACAATTAAGGTGCAAACAGTATGAGATAAAATACACATTTCTTTGCTTTTTAACAAAAGCAGTTTTAACATAATTGCACATTATCCATGTTGGAGTATTTGTGTTTTTACAGCATTGGCATAAAACAAGTACGTTGCTGTATTGATATTGATAATAGGGTCTTGCGATGCAATAGTGTAATAAACTTCAGAATATTTGGAAAGATGTAAAATTGGGATTTTATCTAACTTTGCCTAAGATGGCTATAAGCTGGACAAATTAACAAAAAGTGATATTCATTTTCGATATGGTTTAAGCTACAAACTTTACATTTTCTAAATTCACGAGGAATGTTATAATGTCGTCCATGTTCAATTTCTAAATTGTGAGAACTAAGCCGAAAACGAGTCAATGTGGTTCTGAATTTATTTACTGTAATACTACTCAAATAGTTCTCACATAAAATGGATGTTTTAAACTGTGCATGATAAGCCAATTTGGGGGCTTTTAGATAAATCACTATGCCAAACCTGAACAAAGTTGTCTTTTAACCGTTGACGTAACATATTTAAAAATACGGTTTTATTACCACTAAGGGAAAGAGCCAGACATCACCAAATACTAATCTAAGTGTGTGGCTGTTTGTACTTGTCTGGGCTAATGCCGGTTTTATCGTGCTAGCCAACTGAGATACCATGGCGTAGTTTAATGTATTTCGGTATGACGCGGCCGGGGATCGAACCACCGACATTCTGCTCTATCCACAAGAACACAGGCGGTACAGAGAGGTCTCCTCGTGCTGGTATAGATGAGCCTTGGTACAGTCGTTCCAGTGTGCATGTCACAATTAGCCTATCGCCGGTAATCGTCATGATTTATTCATTTGAGAACATTTCTCAAGCAGCAACGTTCAGGAGGCCGTGTATGTTAACAGAATAGGATACGCCATGACCCTGGACTATGGTCAACGGAAGACTTGGCCGCCATAGTTGGCTTCATGCCAGAATGCATATCATTACGTCTATTTAAAACATCGGACAGATAAGACGGCAAAACGCATGCTGCTTTACCAAGATTTCCCAGAGAGATATAATCATCAGTGTCACTTGAACCTCAAAATTGTTGAATGCTAATGGAGGATGGATGTGATGGTGGTGGTGGTGGTGGTGATGGTGGTGATGGTGGTGGTGATGAGGTGGAGGTGGAGGTGGAGGTGGAGGTGGATGAGGATAAGCATGGTGGCAATAATAGATTGATAAGGCTATGTGCATCATCAAATCCATATGAAAGGTATATTTTATTAGCATTTGTAAAAATAACAACAAAAGTATCTCTACTCTCATGTATGATCAATATCCTTATGCTACTGTGTACTGTTACAGTGCTCCAATGCGCTTCAATGTGATATATATGCTTCGTTTAATGGGCCGGTGTCCCCTTTACTGAATAAACTCATTTCATTTCAATAATAATACCAAGTTGTCCGACTCCAGATTGTTCTCGGTGCCTTAGGTTTGGTACCTTCAAATGTGTTGACTGACATTGGGAGAGTACCCAGGTTTGCTACCAGGAATACAGCCCTTCTGACAATCTGGGTAATTTTCAAATACTTTTAACTAAAATATCATCTTCTCTAGACCCTCCAAACGTTGGCGTTTAGGACTGAAAACAGGTTCGTCCATGGTAAAAAGTACCAACAGTGAGAAAAACAACCGCCCTACTTGTATTTATTTTTATGACATTCGCGGCTATAGAATGCTCCTTTGCAGACATTTACCAATGCATATCGACCGGAACAGTCACATATAACTGGAGCTGGACACCCGGGGTTGTTATTTCAGTAATAACCATTCATCGGAGTTTGCGGAGCGCACTTGCACTCTGTGGCGCTAGCAAGTGACAGGCTCGAACATCTCGGTGGTTTTGACGTATAGATTCTCCTTTAATCAACTCAACTTCCTTATCACGCCAGGTGAACACGGACATTTTTTCAAGTTATTTTCAGCTCTGACTCTTATGTTCTTGAAACACTGGGCATTAGAGCAAGGATAATACAGACTCGGTGTCTATCATCTAATGATCATCAAGTCACGAAGTCAGGTCTAATGATGGCATTGCTTATCTGGCAACCTCATTTTATCACATTACCAGATCTTATTAGGCCTTTATTTGAAATACTAGTAGGTGGGTTTCAGCGGGATAAAGAACGTGTTCATACTACCATCATTACCTGTGATAAAGCTTTGAAAGCTTAGTGTCTGGCTGTGACGTGCGTCGAACCGCGGATAGAGTCAAAGGGCGGATTTTGTCTGCCTTCACGCGTGTTAGGATTGGAAGGGTAATTACCTGACGATTTTATCTAAAAGAAACATTCCCTTTCTTCAATCACATTTACTTTCTTATGTATATCGAGTATCAGAGAGACAGGGTCGTTAATTCACAGGATAGTACACTGCGTTATAGAGAACTAGACAATAAAAGTGAACTGTCCACAGATGTACATTGAGGAAAAGGTACAAGTGGTGCTATTTCAGATGCAAACAAAGGTCATATTCACTGGTTCTTTCTAGAAACATAATGTAGCGGAAGTTGCTATAAAACACGCTTCTTCAATTCATTCATTTTTTATTCAATCTATTCTTTGATGTGAACATCGGAACGGAGTTAGTCCGTCCGATTCTCAATCCACTTGGACAAATATTCTCAAAACTATTTGAGTTTGAGAAATGAAATTTTACACATTTTCTTACTGGTCACGACCTCAAATGAGGTCGAAAATTGGTGTCTTAAATTCTTTTTTTTTCAGAGTTATGGCTCCTGCTCCATCATTTTTAACTGTGAAATGTTTTCTCACGAACTACTGAAGAATGAAACTACAAGAATGAAACTTTGCATGCTTATCTAAGGGATGCTTGTCAACACTGAGTTCGAAATATTTTTTTATATTTTTTTACAGTTAAGTCCCATGCTACATGTATATGTTGTTAGATTATATGAATCCTGTCTCATGTTTCTTGAGAAACTACATGCAAATACGTATGATTATAAGAGATACTTGTTTTACACCAACTCCAAAGTAACATTTTTGTGTCACCTAACATCAAAAGTACATACCACGTAGAGGCATCGAACCCGGGATCTGCCGATTAACCACTGACCTAATCTCCCAACATCAATATGAGTTTAGTATAACGTTACATTTAGGTAAATACTGTTCCTATCAAAGTAAACATGGGCAAAACATTGGGAATGCAGGTGTCAATGGACATATGTCATTCCTCTGCTCGTTTAATTTGCATAATACATTTTAAACGATACAGGTTTTACGTTTAACGACTGCTATAACTGAATGGCTGTCTCAGTTCATTATCCGGCAGACAAGCATACACACAACAGACTCGGGGTCGAAGATGTCAATAATGTTGCTCCGGGGGCCATCTGCGTATTTTATGCAAAGATATGTCGTCATGCAAAAGTACATTTGCTATGTCGAAATTATGATAATGTACAAAAAACAATCATATTATGACTTATCTTTTTTTATTTTAGTCTCTGTGTTACGCAAATTTCCAATTGAGGAAATGGGTATTTCATGGCGGATGTTGCATTCGGTTAAAGCATTGCGCTGGCACCGTGCTTCCTCACATGTGCCGCCCTCGCATAGTCACGTCACTCACGTGAATGAATGGGCTATTGATTAGGAATGGTAACATGGTTTCACGTCATAACTCACTTTTTAATGCATCTGGGGCTTCTTTGCCTCGTTTTTTTTTGTCGACAAGGTGGCACCCTCTGAAAAATAAAAAAAACATTTATGAAAAAATCTATTTTAAATAAAAGCGACAAAAGCCTTTTCATATTCATAAAAAAACCCTGCCAAAAGCAGAGTCGGTTGTACGATTCCAACTATATCGTGAGCATGTGTCACTGTCACATAGTGATAACACCAGGTGTTCGCGAAAAGTAATGTATTATTTCCAGCTGCTGTGGAATAGCATTTACCAGGCAGTTTAATGTAAACGGTAAACGTAATAAATATCTATGAAATAGACATCTGTCAATCCGGTGAGTGTTAAATCAGTTAAATCAAGCAAATGGACCCCATAAATAAACTGAAACAAAAAAAATTAACCAAACATTACTATTGTTGAGATCATTTTACGATGATAAGGTGACCTTTAACATACAGTGATCTTATAACTCATTTGAGGTTATTCCATGCATCATAATCTAATTTGATAATCCATCGATGCTCATCTTCTCTGGTTTTATTAATGTTAGTTGAGATTCGACCTACGTATTATAAAACAGTTCAGCTGTGGTCTATTCATCGATGCATTGTATTCGAAGCTCCTACATGTAAAAGTAAACATGGCTTTAAACATTTTTCGATCACATTAACGTTCACCGATCTTCCAGGCAAGTTTCCAACGAACAGCCTCCAAACGAAATTGTATTAAACATGTTTTGTTTAATGTATGTTCTTCCAACCAACCTATTCTGTCAGAGCTATTAGGATATTACTAAATACCAGTATTAGCTTGTTTTTGTAACCGTCAATCTATTTTCCAACAATTTAGGTCTTCGTTTGAAATCAATGAAAGCAATTCCCAGTATCCCAGTCCGCGTCAGTTTTAGACTAAGCACGTGACCTGTTTCCTTTATGACGGACTGTCGATAACACAATATTGATAAAATCCATAAATATTTGGTTTATAGCTGTGTGTAGAATATTTGATGTTCTACAGGGCCTGGAGTTCGAAAGATGTTATGTTATGATGTTAGCAACATATGGACAGCTACTAGTATTTCATCTTTCTTTACCCAGACAGTGACATTTAATACATCATTGTCATTACAACACAAATACATGTCATTTTTTCTTCCATACAGCAACAGATATGCACTGAGCGACATTCCAGACGGCATCGGATATATAATCAGCAACATATTATATACAATGCTCCTTTCCAGACAGAAGCATATAAAATATACTGTGCTCCTTTCCAGACAGGAACATATGATATACTATGCTCCTTTCCAGAGAGCAACATACATTTTAATATAAAAAGATCACCTGCAGATATTAGTGTCCTTCCAGACAGCAACATATGGTATACTATGCTCTGTTCCAGAGAGGAACATTTATTTTGATATAAAATATCACCTGCAGATATATGTGTCCTTCCAGACAGCAACATATGATATACTATGCTCCTTTCCAGACAGCAACATATATATATATATATATATATATATATATATATATATATATATATATATATATATATATATATATATATATATAACATAGCATCTTCAAATAAAGAAAACAGATCTATACCAGGCCACGTCCTAGACAGGAGACTGCTACCCAGCGACACTGCTACATCTAAACGTTCAACATATCCTGTTATATTCAGACCATCCGACATAAATGTCGTGCTCATGTCCAGACAACAACAATGACACCGCTCCACCCAGGATCAGGACTGGGACAATCTTATGCTCCCTTCAATCAAAAGTATTATATGCAGCTACCTCGCTACCTTTGTAAATCCACACAACAATAGTTATGTACCTTGCACAAAGGGACTTAATACCATGCTACCCCTAGACAGTAATAATCATATACCATTCTACGTTCCAGGCAGAAACTTCCGGTGTTACAAATGATTTTCAGTGATCCATGTATATACTTTTCAGCACTATTTTGCCTTTCATACCCTATGGAATCTTTTTCGGCAGATATTCGAGACTGATTATTCTCTGGCGTTGGCGTTTCGAATTTACATCCTGACTGCAGGGAGTTATATGACATTCTACCACACATCAAGAGTCATATAACGTATTTCCTGCCAGACACTAAAAGTTAAAACATAACATCCTGCCTCACAGACATAAAATGTATGTACCGTGTTATCCGTAGACAACATGATTTATATCACAAATCGTTTCTAAGAAAGCAGCAAACGTTACATGTCATACTACCCCCGACAGAAATAATGGCACGGCGTAATGCCTCCAACAGAGTTATAATAAAAGCGACAAAACCCTTTCCATACTCATAAGAAATCTCTACCAAAAACAGAGTCGATTGTACGATTTCGACCAAAACATGATCATGTGTTTATGAGTGGCTATCAAGGAGTAATGATACCAGCTGTTCACGAAAAGGTGAGCGTATCCAGTCCCACCGGTAGCACCCGTCACAAACACTTGCAAAGGCAAGTCAATTGTTCACATGACAAAACACGGGAACATATGGTCAATATAGGGAATTGCATCGAACATATTTTTTAGCACTCAAATTTGTAAATTTGTAAACAGTGCTACCCACACACAGACGCTACCGCCTGAACTCAATGTTTCAACAAGGCTAACCCAGAAATATATAACAAACTGCCTCCCAGAAAATTAGAACTGCTTTCCATTTACTTTCATGTACAATGTCCGCAGTGTGACTTATATGTATGACGTTTACATCCTGGCTGATACAACCAGTCAGATTCAGAACGAGTCGCAGACACTTTCAAATATGCTCAGAAAAAACTCTAAAAAAAAAACAATGTAACATTCACAAAAATGCAAAATTCAGTTCCACACCATCCCCAAAAGCTTGTAAGTCTGTCCAAACAGAATGGCAGAACATAGCAAACTGCCATCTCTAAGTCTAATAATGAAAGTACTTTTAGAGAAGGAAGACAGAAATAGGCATGCATGCACCAGTAATCTGACGCAATAGGATGACGACCAGAAATAGGTTAATCCAATATTGATATCATCTCGTGCCAAAGTATCAATATAACGCCGTTCACGTGATTTAAATACACGCATGTACGTACTTCCTACGATTGAGCATTAGAGCCTTTTCCAAAATTTTAACTATGAAAAGGTCACCTGACACACGAACATTCGCATTGCATGGCATGTGTTTAGGAGCTGATGTTACGGCTTTTGAGAGACACGGTATGCATGTACGCAGGTCAATTCAATTGGGAGATAAACTTACTGTTTTGAAATTTGATGTAGAACCACTGTAGCTTAGAAACCTCTTATTTTCATTTGGGATCGCGAGGTTTCAATTGTATAAATAAGATGTAGATTGTGACCTAACACAGTGGTTAGTGTGTGTTTTACTTAATCGTGTGTGTTCTAAAATTATAGATCTTATTTTTGGTAAGCTGTTGTTCTAATATCGAACGTTTACAATATTCTAATTGGTTACCGGCAGCCATTGCTACATGCATGGATGCGTAGGCTGTCGATAGATCGATGTTTTCATAAGATGTGTTTTTTTTCTGTGCGGATTAATTTAAAAAGATAGGAAAGGGATAACTCTTTTTAGCTAATCAGAATCAAACATTGTCCATAGTCTTGGTAGAATCAATACTGCATTGCACTTCATCGATAATCTATAAGTAACATATTTATACACGATCCAGTAGCTGACACGTAACAACGTGACATAGGCTGGACTTCAGATGAAAGTATTCCTGCACCAAAGGGCGCTGATTTCTGTCAACTCTATTCCATTGGGACGTCAAACTTTTGTTACATCACAGTGACATATATAAATCTGTTAACGATATGATAGGTTTGATAGACAATCTCGGAGAACGTCTGTGAACAGTTATTTATCAACGTAACCGTTTGTTTATTCCAACGAATGACGCGTTTTTCAATGAAGTCCTAAAGGTTAGCCAATATTCAAAACTCCCGAATCCTTATCAATGAAAAACATATAAGACTACCTTACCTTAAAGAGTTTACAATTTAGTCTTCTTGTGTTCTACATAACGTGACAAGACGAAAGTTCATATTACTTATTTCGTTGACACAGATACGCCTACTATGTATTCAGTTCACACACACTCTCTCCAATGTAGTTATATTCTGTCACGATTATGTCTCGCGGGGGCGTGATTTAGTATCACCAATCATACTTTATTAAGCGTAATATGATTCGGGCAGTTACAGAGATTAGGCAGACAGTACAAGAGATCTACAATATCGGGTGACTACTCTCTAACGCGACAGGCTGGGACAAACATAAGACGGGTCATTGGATGAAGCTCCAGCAAGGTGGAGGAATCACGACAATATTGCCTATATTGTGAGTTGTAAAGTATACTAGTAGGTCATACATATCAAGAGACAGTTTGACAAAGGCGGTTTATGGAACCAGATCGCTCATTGACGGTTCGATAATGGTTTAAAAGGGAGATTGTAAAGTATCAGTTCGACATTGCCAGCGTGTAACGGTTGATAGTAAAGAAATAACTCGACACTGACAGCGTATAACAGCTGAGAGTAAAGTAACAACTCGACATTGCCAGCGTGTACACAGTTGATAGTAAAGTAATAACTCGACACTGACAGCGTATAACAGCTGAGAGTAAAGTAACAACTCGACATTGCCAGCGTGTAAACAGTTGATAGTAAAGTAATAACTCGACACTGACATCGTATAACAGCTTATAGTAAAGTAACAACTCGACATTGCCAGCGTGTAAACAGTTGATAGTAAAGTAATAACTCGATACTGACAGCGTATAACAGCTTATAGTAAAGTAACAACTCGACATTGCCAGCGTGTAAACAGTTGATAGTAAAGTAATAACTCGATACTGACAGCGTATAACAGCTTATAGTAAAGTAATAACTCGACATTGCCAGCGTGTAAACAGTTGATAGTAAAGTAATAACTCGATACTGACAGCGTATAACAGCTTATAGTAAAGTAACAACTCGACATTGCCAGCGTGTAAACAGTTGATAGTAAAGTAATA